TCATAGCCAAAAAGTGGCATCGCCGCAACACTACTAATTAGTAAAAAGAGGCTACATGTTTCTAATTTATTGTCTGAAAACTGCTGTTTTATGAAGGCAGAGAAGCAGCCATGAATCTCATGGTATCTCTGGAGGAGCTGCTAAGATCAACATCTCAGGTGGAACACAAAATAGATGTTTAAGGATGCTCATCATCCAGTCAAAAACATTCACACATTATTTCTTTTAGACTAAAACTCAGAGCAGATTTATAATCCATACAGCTGTCCTTTAGGGAAAAGGTTGTTTTATGAAGCTCTAAATAAGCTTAATAAAATGTCCCACCATGCACCTTACAGTCAAGATTTATATTTTCTACAACAGAAAATCCCAATAATATACATTCAAGTTTAGGTGATAACATTACAAAATTAGCCACTGATAAATATTCACAGTACATTTCTACAGTAAGTTGTGCAAAAGGGTAAGAAAAGGGATGGAAATACCTTGAAAACGCAGATAAAGCTACACAATGCTGTACATAATATGCATTAATAAATTTGAGAAAAACTTCAGAGTACTTCCAAAGCACCAGAGCACACAGATTAGCATGCATCATTCAGTGGATTTCCTACAACATGCTGTTAACTGTGTCAGCACTGGGTGTAACAGATGCTGATAAACTCGCAGTTTTGTAAAGTCGCCTGTTCTTCCACCCCCCCCAGTTCTCCACTTTGATAACAGGCTGTGCTCACCGAGGGGAAGCGGAGCGCTGGGATGGCGAAGCCGTTTGCAGGGGGGGTGTTGGTGTAGGTGGCTATAGGGGTCGAGTGGGTCGGAGGGGTCGCGGGTGCATTGAAGCCGCTGGCCTCAAACGGATCCTGAAGACCGAAGGAACTCAGGTCGGCGTCTGTTTCGCAGTCAGCTGTTTCAACAAAGCACAAAAACGATTAGACTGTGACCAGCTGTGACCTGAAGACAAATGACCTCAAGCAAACGTGCATCAACCCCCCCTCGAAGCTGTTATATACTGTAGCATAGACACAAACTCACAGGAGTGGATGGTTGCATTTAGATCGTGTCCGATTAATCACTCAGCTGTTGATTCAAATTGATATTTGTCAACTGGATATTCTGTTACTGCAGTAAAGCCCTCGCGCACACCATGAGATAAGTCCCACAGGGGCAGAATAATTCGGTTTTCTACAGCATCACATTTCTGTGTTTTGCTCTAATATGCTTTGAGATCTGAACAAATCTCTATTCTGTGCAGCTCTACAGCTTTACAGTGAAAACATTTTCTGTCTATTTCATTGGAAGGGCCATTTCATGCACAGGCGCAACTTCTGACAGATGGAACAAAGTGCATCAAGAGGCAGTTTTTAACCCTTTAAAGCCCAATCCTTTTTTTGGTTTGAAGTCCTTATTTGGCCTTTTAACAAAATATGCAACAAGAAAAAACAGAAATACATTTTTGATATTAATAATTTATTACTATGCGATAAGTCCAGATTATTTTTTGTGTAGTCTTCTGCCCTCTGTTATCAGGTATATCTAATTGTGTACAATAGGATTTTGAGCCGTTAAATTATGCAAAAGGTGTCAGATGCAAAACATTTCATAAACCGTATGTATCAAATACGAACATTTGGCATTATAGGGTTAAAGTTTACCTTTAAGTTAAACTGCTTCAGTAATTAAATGCTGCTTATAGTGCCTTGATGAATTAATTTATAGAGTTTGATCTACATTTGTATTCAACCCGCCATGAGTCAATACTTCTGATACTTTAAAATGTATTTTAGCCCTGGAGATGAGACTAGAAGGCTCTTAGACTTGAGCTAAACATTGTGTTTTGGTTCTGCCTGTTGCTTTATTGTTCAACGTAAATATGTGAGTTGAGCCATTCTCTGTCGTTTGATGGATTAAACGACAATGGATGTTGCTTTATAAACCGCCCCTGCTTTTAAAATCTTGACATCTTTATCTGCAAATGTGGGTGGTAACTAGTTACATTTACTTGAGGAACTTTTGGAAAGAAATTTTATTTACAGCGTTGTAATTTTTACTTTTACTTGAGGAAAAACATGAGAAAATATCACAAGAAACTGAGTGAAGGTTACTCCATTGAGAGTAAGTTCACTTAAAGAAAACAAGCTGGATTTTAACAAATATACACCATTGAGAGAAATACTTTCTATTTTTTTGTACTGAAGGTTTATTGGTTTAATGCCTGTGTAAATCATCCAGGTCATGGTAAGCACAAAACAGGCTTTAATTAAGGAAACCAGACTTTCACTCAATTTTCTGAGGACGTTTTAACACCAATCCAGATGGATGTCTTCAGAAAAACGAAGAGAACATCAAGTTGCCTCCAATTAAAGTCAGTTTAGTGGTTTTTGGTTAAGTTATTTTTCATCTTTTGAGTCTGCCGTGTCATTTGGAGATTGAGTGAAAAAGTAGTTACCAGTTTACTGTAAACGAACCTGTTCTACATACTGTAAATATTGATTTTGTAAGTTCATTCCTAAATTCTTCATTGTGCAATCACTAAATGTTGCATGTTTATTCTTTAAAACACCAAAAATTGCATATCACTTAATATTTTTGTTGAATTTTATATCCTTTC